CCCCAGGGCACGGGGCAGCCACCCTTGGGCAGAGTGTGGGTGCAATTCAGGTGAGCAGAGCCCATCGGAGCTGACCCAGGGAGTGTCCTGGGGTTTGTCCTTTGGGATACCCCATGAAGGGCTTGGGATCATGGGGGTGTCCATCGGCATCCCTGCGAGGCTGTGCCCAGCTCTCCGTGAGCTCTTTCCACCCGGGATGTGGGGGGCAGTGCCACACACCCCAGACCGTGGCCTCACCCGTGCCTCCCACCCTGCAGAGCCTGGAGGAGAGGAGCCCTCGCAGGGCTGGGTGAGCCACTTCCATCCAGTAATGGGAGTGCCATCGGCCAGGGATGGGCAGGGATGGTGGGGCGATGCTGGGGGCGATCCTGGGGTGATGCCAATAAGGGTCCCCCCCGATCCCCCGGCCCCGGGCAGCTGCCCGAGCCCCCTGTGGGCACACGGTGGTGGCCGCGGGTGTCAGTGTGTCCCCTGCCAGGCAGAGCCAGCGGCCGGTACGTCCCCGTCTCCCGCTGACCCTCGCGCTGGCCTGATTGGATCTTCCCTCTGCACCAGCTGTATTTATTTTCGGGCTGTTGCTGCTGCCGGCTGTCCTCCCTCCCTGCTGTCCCCTCCCTGGGCTCCCCCCGGGCTTTAACGTGCTCCCTGCAAAGTGCTGCTGCTCAGCATAACCCCAGACCCCCCGACTCAGCACACAGATCCAGCCGGTGCTGCAGACACGTCCTCGAGCTGGGCTTTTCCAGTACTGGATTTTTTTTTTCCTTTCTTTCTTTTTATCTCAAATGGATTTCATCCCATTTGCTCAGAATTAAGCTCCTGCAGATTTTAATTTGCTGACATTTTTTCATCTGCTTGGTTGTGGATAGCAGGGATAATGCACGTGCAGCGCCGGGTCCTCCCCGCTCCCATCCCCTGCCCATATGGCTGATGTGTGTAGGCAAAGTGCACAGTTGTAGTTCTGCTCAAGGATGCTGAAATCCGGCTGCCAGGGGGGAAGATGAGCTGTCTCGGGTGAGTAACAAGCGCACCGTCCCTGGGAGCGAGGGCAATGGGTTTAAATCAGGTCCATTCTGGAATCTAGCAGCTCCTGGCACCACAAAAACGAGGGGTGCTGGAAGTTGATTAACTCTTATCATCCGTGTTGGCTCAGAGCTGCTGTGGTCAGGGACTCTGCCGGGAGAGGGAAGCTCTGATTTGGGTTATTCCATCACCTGCAATGCCAGAGGCTGGGTCTGGCCCCGGGTTTGTCCCCTCTGCTCCCCTCGGCCGTGCCAGGGCTGTGTGTGNAGAGGGAAGCTCTGATTTGGGTTATTCCATCACCTGCAATGCCAGAGGCTGGGTCTGGCCCCGGGTTTGTCCCCTCTGCTCCCCTCGGCCGTGCCAGGGCTGTGTGTGCCAGGATGTGTGTGCTGGGATGTGTGTGCCAGGATGTGTGTGCCAGGATGTGTGTGCCAGGATGTGTGTGCCAGGGATGTGTGTGCCAGGGATGTGTGTGCAGGGCCTGTCTGTGCCCCACACCAGCCTGGGGAGGGGAGGGGGTTATTTTGGGCAGGTCGGGGTCCCAGGGGCGTGCATCTCTCCGTGCTGCTCTTATTTCTGAGCTGGTTTCAAAGCAGGGCAGAGCTGCGATTCCAGCTGCACTGGCTCTGCACCCAGTGCTCTGCAGTGCTGGCACAACCACCCCAGGGTTCATCCCCGGGCTCTGGGGGTCAGAGTGACCCTCCAAGCCGAGTGGGACAGTGGGATCCCCCCTCTGGCATCTCCCAGGGCTGTGGTACTTTCCCACCCCGGTGTCCTGGGCACCGTCTCCCGTTGAACAGCACGTTTTCCCAGCAGTACCAGAGATGCACCAGCCTCTGGCAGCACCATTTAGGTTAAAAACATCTGTTTGCAGCAGGATTGGTGGGAAACACAGATCCCCTCCTCCCCACCGCCCCACATTGCTGGTGAATAAACCACCGGCAGTGATGGTTACACAGACATTGTCCTGGTAACCTGGATTGGAACAGGGGGATGTGTGTGTGTGACATCCAGCCCTTCACCCTGGCCACATCCCTGGGGGATAACTCTGGGGCTGTTCAGACTGTGAAATGTTGTCTTGGATCTCCTGCAAGTCCTGTTGTGCTTCAGTGCTGCAGGAAGGATAGTTGGGGGTAGTTTGTACTTCACTGCTTAGACTGTGCTCCGTTTGCTTCCCGAGCAGCCCCTGCTCCTGCCCCTTTCTCCTTTAGGAAAGCCAGAGGGTGCCATGATGGGCCAAGATGAGCAGCCACTTCTGATCCCCCTGACACAGACAAAATTGCTGCCCATCAGGGGTTCCCTTATTATGGGAGCAATTCCACCGAGTTCCTGTTAATAACACTCCCAATCTATTTGTCTCAGCTTGTTTTGCACGGCAATAAAATCACTTGGCGTGTTCCCGTATTAAACTACTCCAACCATCTGTGACCGTGCCTGGGTAAGAAATTTCATTTTAGCCATCAGGATTTATACATTATGGATTGTGCTGCTTCCCTGCTTGTCGCCCCCCCTCCAGATACCCACTCCTTCAGGGCTGGAGGGAGCTTCCCAGCTCTCTTGGATGCCGATGCAGCACGTGTGACCCCCGAGCCCCTGCTGCTGACAGGGACACTGTCCTGCTGTCCACGGCCCCAGCACTCCCACTGAAAAGCCACTGGCAGGACAGTAATGGAGGAAAAGCAGCTCTTGTTTTCTTCCATTTAAAAACAATCCCTAATCTGATAGCCCAGCATATGCTCAACTGCCCAAAAAAAGGGAATTAGGGCAGCAGGGAACAAAACGTGCTACCAGCGAGACAATTGGGAGTGAGTTCCTTTTTTATTGGTGGAGTTCAAATAGGTCATGACCAAAATGCCTCAGTGCAAAATCTCCTGATAGGAGATTAATTTCCTTTGTCAAATCAAACTCTGGCTGGGATGCAGATGGGATCAGCCTGGCCTGCCTGCACCCTGCTGGAGTCACAACTTTTATTTGGGGAAGTGGTTACTTGGTCCAAGTTTTCCAGTGTCTCGAAGAAAACAGGAAAAGCTGCTTTTGTGCTGCTGTTCCAGGCAGAAAGTGTGTGGGGGGGGGCAGCAGGTGTGGTCTGAAAAGTGGGGGTGACACAGGCCCCTGCACCCCAGGGTGCTGGTGTGGGACACAGGGTACACATGGGCTGAAGATGGCCCTGTGTCTCTCCTGTTGTGTCACAGGGGGTCTGGGGACCTGTCTGTGAGAGTGGGGTGGCCTCGAGCCCCATCTGCACCCACTGACCTGGCCACTGTCCCCGATACCTGTGGGGCGATGCCAGGCAGGGTGGAAGTTGCAGAAAAGGTCTTTCTGGGGTTTCCTTGAAGGGTTGGTGTGTCCCCAGCAGCTGTGGGGCTGCCCATCCCTGCCAGGACAGGGACAAAACCACTGGCTCTTGGTGCACAGTGTGGTTTGGGCACAGAGACACCGGGTTTGAGAGCACTGCAGGGTGCCAGGGCTGATAGGGAGGGGGCTCCCCCAGCCAGGCACGGGCTGTGGTACTGCTTCAGGGGGAATCTTCCATCAATTGCTACTGGAGCTGGTGCAGGGATGTGTCACCTCCCCAAAAGGTGTCAGGGGTCTTGGGCTGTCCCCAAGGATGAATTGGGTGGCCAGGAAAGGGCTGTGAGGGGCTCCCAGCCCCAGTGCATGGCCACTGCATCCCCCCCTGTCTGCACTCCCGGGCGGAAAAGCACCTTCATTCTTCTTTAATGATAATGACAGTCCCATCTGCAGAACATCTGCAGCCAGATGAGTGATTATGGAGCCTCCCAGCACGGGGATAATGGGATAGCAGCCCCCGTGGAAATCACAGCTCCGTGCTTGCTGCTGGGCTGGAGCGAGTCCCACTCGTGCAGGAGGGTCTGGAGGCACCACATCCCCCTGGAGCTGTGGGAGCTGTGGGAGCTGCTGGTGCTGGAGGCCAGTGCGAGGCTGTGACCCCCCTCCCGTGCACATGAGGTTTGAGAAGCAGAATTTGAGGTACACAAGCAGAATTCCTGTTCCATGGGTAAAGCCAACAGGCCAAATTTTAGCATTTAGCCAGGGCAGAAGGGCTTTTCCAGACCAGTAGCTGATTCCATAGCACAGTTCAGACATAATCCAAGCATAGCTCAGTGTTTTAATCCACCCTGGGACGTGTTTTTCTGCACAACTAACAGAGTCAAGGTCAGGTCTTTGCTAGTTGTTTTGAGGCTAAACCATACATTTTTCATTTTTCCTTCCTTTGCTGCTACCTGGAGATTGTATCTGATGTTGGCAGCTCTGGGAAGCTTCACATCCTCTTCATCAAACACCAGTGCTGCACTTAAAGATGGCGTTATTTAAATTAGAGATGGGGTTTTATCTTCTATTCCTGCTGCAAAGCACTGCTGTGTTACCCTGGGGGCAAAGGATGCTCCTTGGGGGGCTTTGGGCCCAGGACTCTGGTCCTGATGCTGATCCTGGTGCAGCCCGGCAGCTCCACCTCCACACCCACATCCACACACCCGCCGCCGTTTGCCTTTAAGGTTTCTCACCCCTTGCAGCAGCACGTAATTTAAACAGAAGCACTTTAGAAGTCAACTAATTAGCACCAGGGAGGCATCCCCCCGGAGTTCGGCGCCGAGCCGTGCCCTCCTTTCTGTTACGAGATCCTTCCAGCTGGAAATCACAGCGACTGCAGTTTTTAGGGAAAGGGAGAGGGCTGGTGCCTGCGAGCCGGGGCAGAGCCGGGCAGGGAGGGCAGAGGTGGCACTGAGGGCCGGCGGGTACGGACGGAGGCTCTCGGTGGATGGTGAAGCTGCACCTGGCACTGCGAGGTGGCGGGAGCCAGGCGAGGGCAGGCAGGGCTGGGCCCAGGTGGGTCGCTGGCGCTCCGGCCCGTCTGGCCGCGGTCCCGGCACCGCGGGGGTGCCACGCGCCAGGGCGGCACCGGCTGGCACGGGTTGGGTTCTTGGATCCGGCCGCGTCGTGGGCGTGAGCCGAGGCTGGGGCTCAGCTGCATGAGGATCTGAAGCATCTCCCTTTTGTTCCCGACGCACCCTGACAAATGGGGAAGGACCGGAGTTTCTCTCGGCATTTTCGGTACGTGTCCCTGCTCCGCTCCCCCGCGTGGGCTCCGTGGCCGGGGGGGTGCTGGGAGAGCCTCGTGCCCCACGGGCATCCCCACGAGGGCTCTGCTCTCCGGGGCTGTGGGGACCCTGCTCTGGCACCGGGGCAGCCCTGCCACCGCCCCGTGCCCACCGTGGTGGTGGCACAGGCTGCTGGGGGGACTCGAGCGAAGCTCAGATGAAAAATTGGGGTGGGGGTGCTGGGGAGCAGCAGGAAGAGCCCATCTGGGCCTGCTTTGTCTCCGTGGCTGTAGGCCAGCCAAGGGGTGGGTGGTGAGGAGGGGGCTTGGGCGTGCTGGGTGTGATGGAGCGAGGCCCGGGGACCCCTCGCTCCCAGCCTGGCTCAGCACGAGCTCTGAGCAAACCTGGGGCATCTTCACCTGCCCCAGCCAGGGCTGGAGCTGACCCTGCTGCCCTCCCAAGGGAACACATCCTGCTCCAGTGAGGCTCAGCATACCGGGGTGGGGCCGTCCAGGTGAGCTCAGCACCCATCACAGGATATATGCATGTGGAAGAGGGGATTCTCCAGAGTGCTGGGCTGGGAAATTGAGGAGCCAGCTCCCAGCAAGGGTGGGCTGCAGGAGTGGGACTGTCTGCCTGGGGGTGGGCGGCCAGTGACCCACCTGGGAGCTGGAAAATAGCGAGTGTGACACAGACTGAGATGTGTTTGAACACACCAAAGGGAGCCCTGAGCAGAGCTGAGCCCTGGGGATGGGCACCAGGCACTGGCAGAGGCTTTTCCAACCCACAGCACTGTGCCACTGTCCTGGCCTGGCTGCTTTGGGGATGGGCTGAAGGTGGAGAAGGCTGGAGCCTCTGGGGCCTCTCCTGGCCTGGAAGATGCCCTGAATCTGTGTGTTGGAGCAGAGTGAATCCTCCCGAGCAGGTGCCAAACCGCTGCAGAGGAGGGCTGGTGCCCTGGGGCTCAGCACACCCTGCACAGGGACAGAGCGGGCAAAGGGCTGCAGTGCCCGGGGATGGAGATGCCTTTCCCATCCCTGCTCCAACGGGAAACAGAGCCAGGGCTGACCTGGAGCACCCCAGGAGGAGGAAGAGGTGCATGAGGTCAGTGCTCTATGGCTCTGCTGCTGCTCCCGGGCTGACCTCCACAAATGGGGTGGGTGCATCCCTGCTCCGTGAATCCCGGTGGGATTTGCTGGAAGAGGGACATCCTAGCTGGGTGCTGCTCCTCCGTGCCATGCCAATGGGCAGAACCAGGTTTATCCCATGGGATATCAGGATTCTGCAAAGCCCCAGGCACCACCTGCCCTGGGCTGGTGCTGGTGTCAGTGCCGGTGCCGGTGTGTGCTTCGTGGGTGGTATCCTGCTGGAACTGAGGCATCCGCTCTAATGACTCCCCACATGCTGTCTTTGATGGGTCCCTTTGATGCACCAGACCTGGGCACACGTTTTGGGTGTTGGCACCCACTGAATCGCAGGGATCAGGGATCCCCGAGCAGCACAGGGCCATCCAGGTTTTGCAGAAGGGAACTATTTTGCATGTTTAGTGGGATTATTTGTAGTCACTCAGCTGTCTCCTTGCTGAGGCAGCGTTGTTCTTGGAGCACTAAGGCAGTGGATGGTGCAGCCCCTGTCCTCGTGCCTGGGTAGGGAGCCGTGCTCCATCCTGGTGCCTGGCAGCCCGGTGGTGAAGCAGAGGTTGGTGTAAAGTGGGACAGCTCTGCTGGAATGAGCAGGGCCGATTTAATTTGGCCAATTAAATGGGATTGTGCTCATTTTGCCTGCGAGGAACCCGGACTTCTCCCTGGTGGGCGCCCAGCCTGGGGCAGAGGTGAGGGGGACCCACATCCTCCCCTGCCCCAGGGCTGTGGCCACCCTGTCCCACAGCTCACATCTGGGTGAACTGTTTGTTAGCACAGTTTCACTCTTTTCTAGTTGCTGCTTAATCACACATCGCCTGGGAATTGCACCAATGTGTTACTTGTTTTAAATTGTTACCAGATGCTCTATGTGAGCATCTGCCAGCCTCGGGTGGCTTATGATCTGTCTTCTCCTCCTGCAGCAGCTCTTGTTTTGAGTTCTGCCTTTTGTTGGGGGCAAATAAAGATGTCCTGGTTCTGGTAGATCTGGGATTTGAAGCCTCCCCTTCCTCCTCCTCTGGCTTCACCCAGGTTTTTGTGTTCCCCTGGTGAAGCTGCCCAAGGGAGCCCTGTGGGATCCCCCCACCAGCCCCAGCCTCTCCAGCCTGTCCTGCCGGTGCAGCCCCTCGGAGCAGATTCCTCTGGGTCCTCTGACACCAGTTTGGCCCAGTTCTTGCTCCCATGGGAGACATGATCCCCAGGCAGCCAGGAGTGTGCTCACACCCCAGTGAGGCTGTGATAACACAGGGAGCTCGAGGTGAGGAGCGTTAATGAACCCCACGAGATGGTTTTGTCTAACGAGCCACCACAGCTGCGAGGTGCAGGGAGGGGTTGCTATAGAAACACTCAGAGATAAGGGCTCCTCCTGAAGCCCCTAAATGTGCAAACAGAGGGTAGGGGTAGGTGAGCAGGTGTCAGCATCTCGCTGTTGTGATGGCAGAAGGCAAAAGAAAAGAAGAAGTGCCTCCTGGTGTAGGGGGTTTACCCCGGCCAAGGTGGGAGTGGTGCAACGGGGCCCTCTCGCACCCTCCTGGGGTCCTGCTTTGCGTCCCCTGTGCACCCTCTGAGCATCCTGGGGGTCCCTGTGGGGGCACAAAGGCCACTTGGCTGCTCCTGCCAGGAGAGGGGAGGTGACCTGAAACAGAGTGAGTTCCCAGTGCTGTCCCCTTGCCTGCAGCATCACTGAACCCACCCCTCCAGCACCAACATCTCCCAAAGGGCACAAGGCTCCTGCCTGGCTGTGGAGTGAGCTGGAATGTGGGGATGTGCATGGCAGGGGCCCAGGATAGCAAAGTCCAGAGCTCCCAGCAGAGAGTTTGGGGCAGGAGGTGGCGAGCAACATTGTGGGGGTTCCAGAATGGGCTGGGGAAGAAGCAGGTCTGTAGGAGGGGTCTGACATCACTGCCCCAGTGGAGCTGTGCATGGGATGGGGGAAGAGGTGCAATTGTGTCCCTGGTGTCCCCAGCACCCCTGGTGTTCTCAGCCTTGGCATTTACAACTCTTGAAGGACTGGGGTCAAGAGCACACCAGGGGTTCTGCTCTTTCCTCTCCGGGCGTGGCTGGACCTGGAGCTCTGTGCCACAGCTGCCACGGCCCCGCTCCTCACTCCCCGTCTCGTTTCCCCAGGATTTTCATCCCCAAGAAGCACCGGCAGCGCTTTGACGAGGTGGTGTCTCAGAGCCTGATCAGCAAACTGTGCCGCTCCAAGAGCGAGCAGCACAGCAACCGCCTGCGCCGCAGCCGCAGCGAGGACCACCAGGAGCGGCTGCTCG